CTGGAACCGGGATTGCTTTCTGTTCACATTGCAAAACACCTAGATGACCAAGCGTCTCAAGTAGCCTTTGCTGAGGAGGCCCTACTCATTGTATTCTCCTGCTGTATATGTTTCCCCATCAAAGTTGATGAAAAACCAACAACCGGGGTGTAATCGAGTATTTAAACGACTAACTGTTCGTATGGGCCGAACACCCACGAAGAAGAAACGTGCAAATCACGCCTACATCCCCTTCTGGTTCTGGTTGTGATTCCCGATTTCCCTTTGGCGCCGAGGTGCATTGGACACCTTTGACTCCTGACCCTGTCTAAATGATGTATGATGTATTTGATGAGCTGAACGCTGGCCCCCGGTGGTTTTCTCCGGTCACTCATCGCCCCGTTTGCTTTGCTCATCAGACTTTGGTTATGGATTCTCCCGAAGAATTCATTTCTTTTGGTCTAATCTGGGCAACTGGTTATTATTATTCCCCCTAACTGGCAAATCTTATGTGTGGATATGTTCACGTGATCGCGTTAAAATGTGCCCTATCTCATCCAACACGCACATAATGAACCGGTCGTTTTGCCGTGCTAGTTGTCCGACGCTGTTAGGTTTTTCTTGTTCTCGTTGTTCTTTGCATACTTTTCTAATTTCAGATGAGAAAAAATATTAGTTTCGCTCAATTACAAAGCAACGAATCCACATCTTGCGATCGCTTACTAATTATACCATTTTTCACTGTCAGTCCTGTCTGATTGACTTATATGCAGACAAATATGTAATGCCGAGTTGATTTCAAACGAACATCGTACCGGTTGGTAATTTTCGCGGTTGGAGACCAGTTCAGGTGGAATTTTCACCCGTTACCCTGTAGTCTGTTGCCTCTATCAGTGTTGTGGCGCTCGCCAAAGCCGTTTTTTAACCATCCTATTCCACCATATTTGTCCACGTTTCTCCCAGTTCCGCTGGCTGTTTATGTCTACCGAAATGGTGTACGTGGAATTTCGCTCGCGCTCTCGATCTTCTGTACAGTGGACGATTTCGGTACGTGTTTTTTTTTATTTGATTGTGCACAAGATGCGCAGTTGTTTTTTTGTCACAGCTCGTATTGCCTAACCGGGAGCGTCATTGTTGTGGTTGTTCACGTCCAATTTTCTGTGCAATCATTGTCCTCCACCGGCTCTGATTGTTGTCTTCCTACTAACCACTCTTGGTTGTTAATTGAGTGGAGTTAAAATTTCAAAAAAAAAATTAAAAAAGAAGCACTGATTTCCCGATACCGAATGCGATAAAACTAACCGTAATACGTGATTAGATGCCCGAGTGTCACTGTTTGTGACATGCGTCCAAAGGAAACTCACGACGCGCATTTCCAAGGCTCAAGCAGCTCACGCAGGATTAAACTACACATGTGGCGACGATGTGACATTTTACTGAGGTTGAAATCTCGCGTATACTACGGCACCGTACAATCTTTTCTGCTTACGGGTAAAAGGCGTCCGTCGCCTAGTGGTTTTCGACAGTCACTGCTTACGTAAACTGGCCCAGGTGGGATGTAGTGAGCGGGTTAGTAGCCTAGAAGTAAGTCGGGCGTTCGGTACTGCACCAGACACCAACTGGCTATCGCATCGAATTCAGATCGGTAAGTTCTGTTGGTTAGGTCGCACGTTTCGCATATCTAACGGTCGCCTACCGCACCGCGTCTTATTTGCAGTGGCCACTGCAGATTGGAGAAAGCCACGTGGAGGTCAACAGATGACGTTGAGATGAGGCATGCAGAAATGGACATAGCGATTAGGTAGTGTAGGTGCTCTCGTCTTCTAGATTGGAGTCCAAAAGATTTGGTAACTGGTTGTTCGGGGACACTGAGACACTAACCGAAAGCGGTGTTCTCGCTGTCTTTTCTTATCAAACCATAATGCTCGCAAATATGTGTGTACATTTGGGCTGCGTACTCTGTGTGTTGACCATGGAGGTTGGCTTTCTTTTCCCATCGGCAATCCCTATCCTCTTTATACATTCCCACTTACCTTCTATGCATCATGAATTTGGCAGCGATCAGTGAAGTTCGCTTCACCGTTGACCTTCCACTGACTAACTAGGCAAATGCTGCATATTGAGGATGCCTTTCTAGGGGCCTGTCTCAAATACGTCTAGTTACCCTAAGCTATGGAGATGAATAACATGCCACAGTTAGCGACCACGATTTCTCAAAACCCTGCACCTAACTGCAGCATTAATTGTTCGGTTACGAAGACAGCGGTGCTCGAAAACCAATACTCTGTCTGTTCCGATAACAGACCTGTCTCTCGGCACCGTTCAAGCGAATCCGCTAAACTGTTGCAGCATACACTCAACCCTACGTAAGCAGCCCGATGTTTTAACGGTGCCGTAGATGTTTCATGTAGAAAAACGCCAACTGAGACTTCTCTCTCTGTTTGTAACGAGCTTTCATTCTGGATTCTTTGTCCTTGTGTGTGGAAGAATAAGATCAAGCGCTATTCTGCAACGGCATTCTACACTCTGAAGGTACAAACACATCCAGAATATATATGGCTGTCTGAACAACGTAGTGATTGAGAAAAGCTTGCAAGTTAACTGAATCTCCACTTAGCAGTACAACATCGTCTGGTATCAGAACAGCAATCCTTCGACTAGGACCGGGCCGTTTCTAGATTTGCATCTATAACAAAGTTGAGTAGAAATAGACATGGTTAGAGTGAACCCGCTGTTTGGCCTAATCCTTTAAAACGATGCTAATGTGAATCGGTTTGCCCGCATAGGTCATGTTGCGCAAATCGGGATAGAACCTACTACAATTATGTGTACCCGGTATGATTTCATCGATCTTCATTTTCTATACTTCCAATAACTAGGTTCCGTCCAGCCAGAATATGACTATGCCGCATGCCAGGAACTTCATTCAGCCTTGCTAAATGATGAAGTATTGTGAATATTGATGCTGTGTGATTCACATGTCATAGGCGACAGCCGCAGATAAATCATGAGTGTGTGTGTGTGTATGTGTGTGCACGCGCGCACTCCGTAATGAAGTCGGCTAGTGATATGCAAGTCCCGAACCGCCATTCGCCTCAACTGTTTCTTTTCTCTTGTAAATCTGAGCACGCAAAATAACGAAATTCTATAATCTGTTTGTGCTCAATCGCTAATCGCTCTGTGCATTTCTTCACGCCTCGTTTCCACGTCATCTGTTTACCTCCACGTGGTTTCTTCCACCCTGGAGCCGCAACTGTGGTGCGGTAGATGATGGCTGGACATGCACAATACGTATCCTAACCAGCGAAGCCGACTAATCGGAATTCGATGGGACAACGAATTCTCCATCGAATCATTACCAGATACGCGACGGCTTACCTCACAGTTGCTTACTCGCTCGCTCCATACAACCCGCTAAACTACGTAAACTTCAGTAGCCGAAGACTTGTAGACAACGAATATCTTCCACGCGCAAATTATGAGTCTCGAACCATTAAGCAGAACTGACCACACACTGACGCGGCATGCACGACTTTTCAGTTTCAAGGAAATATCACGTGTACCGACGCTGTTTCAGTCCTGCGTGAGACGCTCGTGTTTTGGAAATACGGGCGGTTACTTCCTGGACTATGCTACCGTCATTCGTCATGCAACTGCCTGAGTAAGAGAAACATTCCACCGTAACTAATTCTTGACCATCAAGCATTAGGACGTGGGAAGTCGATACCCAATCGTACAGCATCACTTTGCACTTTGAAGGTGCAAAGCGCATACTAAGTGGAGTTACCGAATTCGAAAGTCTGTCAAGAGCGCTTTGTGCATCCGCCATACATTCAAATAGACAAAAGATGCCATCAGGGTGCTCTAAATTGCACAGCTTTTCTCCAGCTGCCCACTCAATACGAATATTTTGGAAACCACTTACTGCCTTCTTCAGTATTTCGCCTATGACGAAGATGAACAAGAATACCGAGATAAGGCATCCTTGACGAACACCGCTCCTGGTTTCGAGCCATTTAATTAGCCCACTGTACACCCTGGAGGTACACGAACTATGCAGGTATAGCGATCGTATTAGGTTTACATACTGTTGCGGCATTTCTTTGTGTAAGAAATCCACGGTCAACTGAATCGAAGGCTCCGTTTAGGTCAAGGAATATCGCGATTGTTGACCGACAATGTGTGACGCAATTAGAGGACTTGATGCAGAGTGAAGATTTGTCGATACAACCGCGACCTGGTCGGAATCCGGCTTACTGTTCGCGGATATTCAGCTTGTTAACCCACTTGCTTCAGGGCTCCAAAGTCAGTGATTATCGTTGCCTCAGAATCTACAATCTATTTCATGGTGAATTACAGTGGTGTTTGATGACGACCCTTGGCGAGTGACTACCAACTTGTCTGAGGGAGTGTTACGGATTGGAAGAAGGGGTAAAAGGAGGGGGTTGGGTACGGAACACAAGGAGTTAAACAAAGGTTGAGATATCTGAGCAACAGCCCACTTATCACTACCCACCCCACTCGATGCAATGGGCATCGTGGTTCTGTGCGACGACCGATGCAGTGTGAAATTATTTTTAGTTTGTGTGTTCATTGGAGCCTTGTTGGTGAGTACTACCAGGGACTTCAACCAGCAAACAGAACTATCAGGGTTCTCGCCCAAAGCCTTAAGTTCTGACAAAAACCTAACCGCAGTGCAGCGGGTAAAGCGAAGTAGATGTTCATTAATTTGTATCAGTTACTTCTCCAACGCCTTTTACCAACTGAGACGCCAACTCAAATTGAACCCCAGCCTGCAGGATCAAGAGACTGTAATTTCCGAATAATCCCATTGAAACATCAGAACACAAGTCCGAAGGCAACCAAATCCTTTCTAATGATTCATAATCGTGTCTGTACAGATCGTATAAGGGTTTGTTGTTAGTGGCGACACATTTTTACGCTGGATCGAAAGGTCATTTGGGATGAGGTAAGCCCTATGTGTCTGTGTTCGGGTGAGATTGATTGTGATTGGAGTGTTGATGGTGATGGTGATGTTGATGATCAATTCGGGGCCACGGTAAGTGGAGAGCTTTGATCAGTCGCTTTTGTGCACAGTCTGGTGCGAACAGGTGAATGTCTATCGCCTCAGAGGTGGCTAGTGTGTGTAAGTGCACTGCTTTAGACGGGTTGGGGGCACACGATAGATTACGCTGAAAGTGGATTCTGGTCTAATTTGATGGCCTGTATCCACTAGATGACCAAGAATGGCGCTTCCTATGCTTCCTGTTCCTCCTTATTTTAAGCAGCATGGGCAGTGTTCCTTCATCCGTTGTGACTGTACTTTGTCTTACCTCTACCCATTGACCTCCCAGGTATGATTACGTCGTTGATTCAACAAAAGCCACTCAGTGTAGCTCGTTGGGTCACAGAGATGCACAAGCCATCACATCACTTCAGGGTGCAGTCTCCTAATGATGGTATCTGTACGTTATCATTTCATTGTACTGCCATCTGAATGCAGTGTGTATAGATCCCATGAAACTCAGTAAGCATTAGCTTTGTAGATTACCAGAGATAATAAAAAATGAATTTGACCTACTTAGCTAATCTGCAGAGGCACGTGAGAAATGTCCACTGGCGTGTCAACTATCTCAAACATTTGCCGAAACAACATGGGTTGAAAATTGGCTGTTTGGGGGCTTGTTTTGTTTGGACCAACTGAACATGTTTCCTCGTTTCTGATTATCTTCTTTCTTCCTCATGAAGTGCATATATCTGATTGACTGCTCGTTCCGGGTCAATAGACAGTGCAAAAATCTGAGTCTCAAACTAACCTAAAGCTGTGATTGTGTTCTGTTTCTGTGTGTGCGTGTGTCTGTCTGTCTGTATGACAGTAGTAACTCATCTGTTCTGTGAGCTTTTTCAACATCACATCATGTTCACCCTCTCTCAGCCTCTCTCTCATTTCATTCATCCATATAAGATAAGATTCACTCCTATCTGATATAGATGGATGAAATGAGCCAGAGAGA